CCAATCGCCAGAGCGCCAGTCGCAAACGCACTCATCACTCTCCCCTGATTTTCCTCATGGAGCTTTAACATTGACCCTGGCTTTGATTACTTGGTCCGGCTGCATTTCTGCGAGCTGCAGTATGACAAGGCCGAGCAACGCAAGTTCAAGATTTACATAAACAACAAGACCGCTGCAGAGGGCTATGATGTGCTTCCGTGACTAGTATTACGTGAAGACCCTTGGCTACAATCGAAAAGCCATGATGATGTTTACCAGTGAAGTACAAACTGACTATACCTGAGATGAGCACGTCGACAGCGTGCCATTGCTTATTCTTTCGAGACGACAAGTTATGTCAGCATGGAAGATCATAGGGTAGAAGCGGAGGTGCTTGGCAATCTTCTTCTTCACACGTCGGAACTGGTCAGTGTGTTTCCATCCCATGAATATGCGATATGTGGTGCTGCAGTCCTGGCAGGAGCTGACGAGGCTGTACGCCTCCCGGAGCGTCCCCTCCAGTCCATTGAGTGCGTTTACAATCTCTTCTCGCTGCATCATCTCTGGGTTTTGCAGCATCCGTAGCAGGCCATTTATCAACTGCACATCCTGCACAAGCTCCTGGCAGGTCTCCTTGTTGCGCTGAACTGTCTGTGCTGCCTGTACAATCGTCGAGATGAGCCCCAACGCATCCACTCCCACCAGCTGCGCGATGGTCGCTGCCTGCTCCATGCCGTTCCACTGCGCCATATCTGCACCACCTCTCTCCTCTGAGTGAAAACGGTAGGAAAGGAAACCACTCTATTATGCACGTAAAAACTTTGATCAAAACTGTCGAACTGTTCGAAACACAGTTCAAAGGAAGGGGATAGGAAGTGGGAGCATACCTTGGGATTGAACCAGAGCAGATTGCCAGTCGGCTGTTCAACTGCGAGCAGCACACGACAAACTGTCTGCCTCGATCTTGTCCTGAAGTAGCGGTAGAGGTGGGGAGCGCAGATAGCCACGCAGTACAGCACAGTGTTCTGTGGGACATGGGTGGCCATGGTGTTGTCGATTCTGCTTGACCTTTGACTGCAATGAACGCGCGTACTGCTAGACTAGTTGGATGAGAGGGAAAACGCGCAAGCGGCAGAGGTAGTCTCCGTCTCCACGAAACTTCGTGGAAGGTGAGTGACGACAATGCTTAGACAGAGGCGAGACGACGAGTGCTTGACCTTGACCGACCTTGACGAGACGAGGAGTGCTCGCCGTAGTTGCGTGGTGCTTGCACCCTCAGGGGCTCGCCGTCTCAAGGAAATGGAGAGCACGCGGTTGGATAGAGACCAGGGATGTGTAATGTCTGCGCCTGTCGCTCATGGCGCTCCAAGCACAATGGCCGGGTGAGGTGTCAAGCGGCACAGCATTTCCGCGAGCACCTGGAGCGCAGCGGAGGAGCAAGAGAGGGAGGGGCGCGAGCACAACTCGCTCCGCCTCCGCTCCGCGGGAGCTCTGGCTGCCCGGCGCGCGGATCTTCCACCGGGGGCGCACCAGCCGCCTCCCCTCCGGCCTCCACGCATCATTCAGCGCGCGTGATCGGTGGCGCTCAGGGCTCGCCTGCAGTTGTTTCCTTGTGGGCCAGCCCACTAAGCTGCCGTTTCTCATTTTCTCGTTCGATTGTTCTTGGTTCTTTTTGCTGTTCCTATTTACATTTTTTATTTTCACTTTTTTTTAAAGTTCCCTCAATCCACAAGCTTCTGTAGTTTTTGAAAAATTTCAACGGACATTAAAAATGGCCGTCTAATGTAAAAGATTGTCCGTGTGGTTTTAGCAAAATGTTCATAAAATTCAAAAACTTGTTTGTCAATTTCCACAAAAGGATCACATGTTTAAAACATATATGTCCATGCCATTTAAAAAAATCTTCATGAAAATATAAAAAAATGTTCACATAATTTGTAAACAATATTCTACCATTAAAAACAACTTTTAAAAGCAATTAAAAATGTTCATAGGTTTAAAAATATGTTCATGACATTTCCAAAAAAAAGTTTAAGGAATGCAACAATTTGTTCGTGCAATTTTTTTAATAAATAAATAAGAAATTTTTTCATGTTTGCGATATTTTTGGAAAAGTATACGTGTGCTTAAAATTGTTCACCGTGTATTTAAAAAATGGTTAATATGCACGTTACAAATGTTCAACATATCTTCAAAAATTGTTCAACATGTATTTAAAAATGTTAAAATTGTATATGAAATGTTTTAAAAATTCACCACGTATTTGAAAATGAAAGTAAAAATAGAAAAAAAGGAAAAGGAAAAAATAAATAAGAAAGAAAAAATGAAATGGGAAAAGGGAAAAACAAAAGAAATAGAGTAACAAAGCTAGAAAAGAACCATAGAAAAAATATTAAAACCTGGTTGAAAATCAGAACAAATACACTTAAACCTGCCGGAACTATTGGAAATATGTGTAAAACCTAGAGTAATACCCTAAACAACTTTGCATGTTTTTTTTGGCATCATCAGGACATCACGCATCATATTGCATTGCATTAACTTGACATGAACATATTAGTCATAACAATATTTTTATTATTGCAAACTCTAATTAATATTGCTATTATTATTCTTTTTCGTCCTAAACCCCTGGCCTTTCTCCTAAACTTTCACATGATGTTCTTTTCTCATATTAGAGCTTGTAAGGCCCCATATGCAGTATTATTCCAAATATAGACCCTAGCGCTCCATTTCTAGAATAGAAGCGCATATAGAGCCGTCGTAGCATATGACTACATATCATACACACAATGTCATATGTCATGGTCTTTACAAATCAAATATAAGAACAATTCCACTACCAAATAGATGGTATATATATGAATAGGGCATACAAGTGTAAAGATCAAAATTTATTACACTCGAAGACCACATGATCCAACATCCATCATCACAGCGAAAGTTTCGGCATCTGGATGGATCTACTTTGCCCCTTAGACGACGACTTCCCAAGTTGTTTTCTCATGCTCTGGATGATAAGATTTCAGTGTCTGATTTAGTGGATAGCCAAAACAGGGCATCTTTCTTCCAGTTACCAATATCTCAGCAAGCTGCGGCAGAATTGGACTCTCTCATTTCCTGGGTTGCTAATTTGCAAAGAGACTCTTCTGCCAATGATGTTTGGTCTTGGGATGGATCTTCTGGAGCTTACACGTCCATGAGCTATTATACCATCATGCATCCCCATCTACCCATGTTTGAGCCTTGCAAATGGTTATGGAGTAGTAGATGCACACTTAAGATCAAGGTTTTTGCTTGGTCGTTGCTCTTTGACATACTTAACACTAAGGACTTGCTTGTGCGTAGGCATTGGCGTGATGCTGGGGATGATAATCTTTGTGTGTTGTGTCACCAACACATTTATGAGGATCGCCTGCATTTGTTCTTTTCTTGTAACTACAGTGCAAGAATTTGAAACTATCTTCAGATTGACTGGTCTGGAGGCTTTGATGTTCAACAATGCATCTCTTTGGCTAGGAAGAGATTTGCCAAAAGCTTCTTCTTTGAGGTGGTCTTCACAGCTACTTGGAATATTTGGATCATCAGGAATGGCATAACTTTCAGAGGAGAGAGAGCTTCTTTTAGTGCTTGGCGTTGTAAATTTGTACATGATTTGACTTTGCTATCTCATAGGGTCAAGGCTCATATTCGGCCGCACCTTTTAAAATGGTTGGAGGGGCTCCCTTCAGCTTTGTAATGGATAGGTATGTTTAGGTGAGTTTAGCCTTTCTACTTTTCTTTTGTAGCTTTTGTTTTGTACAGTTTTCCTGTTTGGACCTGCTTTGCTATTAATAAAAGACTGTGGAGTTGTGTCGTGCAGTAGTTAGTCAAAAAAACAGCGAAAGTTTCAAATAGTCTGACTAAAAAAATCAAGTAATGCCTAAGAGGTGGAAACATAAAAGCAAACAGTCACATTCCCATGTCGCGAGCTGGAATCCGCTAATCTACGCGTCATCGTCAAAGAACTCCACGTACTAACGAACATGTCGTCACAATTAGCGTAGTAGCATGTACCTATAGTTGTTGTTGTGGAAAGGGTGAGTACTTTGGGTACTCAACTAGTCTCATTACTGAAGATACCAGAACTAACAATACTTTCAGGTGTGATAATGGGTTAAATGGTGAAGTTACAACAAGCGGCTAAGCAACATACTATACTTACTTCTATTAGAATTTGAGATGAGAAAGCATATGCGAACAAGGTCGTAAGTTGATCATATATCCACCTACCTACCCATTCAAAGCACTCTGTTGTCCTCTCCTTCGGGAATTATCCCTCAAAGAAGAGACAATTAAGGTTGTCCATGAATCAACATTAAGCTCCAAATCATCCATATACATGAGCACAGCTTTTGGAGAACATTTAAACCCGTCGGGGTGCACCAACATACCCATTATAGGCTCCATACGCACTCTGTTAATCATACGTCCATTTTGCATCATGCTTTTATATCGATATTTATTGCATTATGGGCTGTTATTACACATTATGTCACAATACTTATGCCTATTTTCTCTTATTTTACAAGGTTTACATAAAGAGGGAGAATGCCGGCAGCTGGGATTCTGGGCAGGAAAAGGAGCAAATATTAGAGACCTATTCTACACAGCTCCAAAAGTCCTGAAACTTCACAGAAGCTATTTTCAGAATATATAAAAAATACTGACCGCAAGAAGTTCCAGAGGGGGAACACACCCTGGCCACGAGGGTGGGGGGCGCGCCCTACCCCCTAGGCGCGCCCCCCTGCCTCATGGGCCCCCTGGTGGCCCTCCGATGCCCATCTTCTGCTATATGGAGTCTTTCGTTGAGGAAAAAAAATCATAAGCAAGCTTTCGGGACGAGACTCCGCCGCCACGAGGCGGAACCTTGGCGGAACCAATCTAGGGCTTCGGCGGAGCTGTTCTGCTTGTGACACTTCCCTCCGGGAGGGGGAAATCATCACCATCATCATCACCAACGCTCCTCTCATCGGGAGGGGGCCAATCTCCATCAATATCTTCACCAACACCATCTCCTCTCAAACCCTAGTTCATCTCTTGTATCTAATTCTTGTCTCTAAGTCTGGGATTGGTACCTGTAGGTTGCTAGTAGTGTTGATTACTCCTTGTAGTTGATGGTAGTTGATTTATTTGGTGGAAGATCATATGTTTAGATCCTATATGCATATTAATACCCCTCTGATTATGAACATGAATATGCTTTGTAAGTAGTTACGTTTGTTCCTGAGGACATGGGAGAAGTCTTGCTATTAGTAGTCATGTGAATTTGGTATTCGTTCGATATTTTGACGAGATGTATGTTGTCTCTCCTCTAGTGGTGTTATGTGAACGTCGACTACATGACACTTCACCATTATTTGGGCCTATAGGAAGGCATTGGGAAGTAATAAGTAGATGATGGGTTGCTAGAGTGACAGAAGCTTAAACCCTAGTTTATGCGTTGCTTCGTAAGGGGCTGATTTGGATCCATATGTTTCATGCTATGGTTAGGTTTACCTTGATACTTCTGTTGTAGTTGCGGATGCTTGCAATGGGGGTTAATCATAAGTGGGATGTTTGTCCAAGTAAGGACAACACCCACGCACCGGTCCACCCACATATCAGAATATCAAAGTACCGAACGCGAATCATATGAACGTGATGAAAACTAGCTTGACGATAATTCCCATGTGTCCTCGGGAGCGCTTTCTTCTATATAAGAGTTTTTCCAGGCTTGTCCTTTGCTACAAAAAGGATTGGGCCACCTTGCTGCACTTTATTTACTTTTGTTACTTGTTGCTCGTTATAAATTATCTTATCACAAAACTATATGTTACCTATAATTTCAGTGCTTGCAGAGAATACCTTACTGAAAACCGTTTATCATTTCCTCCTGCTCCTCGTTGGGTTCGACACTCTTACTTATCGAAAGGACTACGATAGATCCCCTATACTTGTGGGTCATCAAGACTCTTTTCTTGCGCCGTTGCCGAGGAGTGAAGCGCCTTTGGTAGGTGGAATTTGG